CAGAATATCTGCACCGGTTGCAAGCATGTTTGTGACATCAAAATTGCACTTAAGGCACACAACAGTAGTTACGTTTCAGACATCAAAGGCCATATTAAGCGCTTTCTCTTTGTTTGGTCTCTCCAGATCCCCCAGTGATTACCAGGGAAGAAGGTCACATTATTGATGCGTTTGAAGGAGATTCAGCATCAATTTTTTGCCCAATACTTGGAAACCCCCATCCGAATGTCACTTGGCACAAGGGAAATGACACATCGTCTGACACTGTGATAAATACCACCAACCCTCTGGAGTTTCTTGAGACTGCGTTAGATGATAGTGGATGGTATACCTGCTTTGCCGAAAACTCTTTAGGAAACGTTACTGTCACGGTCCAGCTACATGTTGGTAAGTTGTATTGTTTTGTTTGGCAAATAAGTTACTTTGCATTAGACTAATCACGCATTATAGCCGATACTGCATTATCAGTCATGGCACTCATTCTTAAAATTGTAAGAGAGAATTTTACAAAAGGTCCATATGTGAAAAATCTTAAGCAAACATATAGCATTGGAGTGGAGCTACTGAAAATGACATAAAAGATAACTTTTTGCAGTTTCCCTCACGCTTCTTAATAATTCTACTCCCTGCTAACTGATTGACACTCTCGTGGTGTCTCAGTTTGTTACTTTGTTAAAGTACTTTGTTTCAGAAGGAATCTAGATTTTATGATACTATTATTAGGTATTGCAGTTATGACATAAGCAGCTTATGTAATTCTATTCATTCTGGCAGCTTTCACGTATAGTCGTAACGTAAAATGTTTGATAATTAATCTGCATTGTCCCGCAAACCCAAATATATGCAGATACGCTTCTGGAACTTTCTAAGATTTACATAAGTATAAAAACTTGTGAGTTTAGCTCGACATGCATTCATTATTAGTGTGTTTGTTCAAGGAATAAGACTTTTGCCAACCGGAGTAGTAAACAGCGGTCATGGAGCTTTTCCTTTAAATTTTGAAAGACTACTCTATAAAATGGTTGCTATTCTTCATGAAAAACGTGTAATTTTTCTTATCTCAGAAAAGTCTGTACAAACTACAGTAACCACATTGCTAAAGACAACGACTAAAGGTAAGGAGTATCGTTTTTGTGCTTATGATTGAAGTTCTCTATAATGATAGCAATTGTGCTTTATGGACCTGAAGCATGTTATTTGCTGTGAGGCTGTTTATGATTTTCGAAAGCTAGACGAAAAGTATATCAATGAAAAGGAGCGCAGCTTTCATCACGAGTTCAAATTGCGAGCTTGTTGTAATTAGCCAAGAAGAAATGGAAACCAAGGGGGGAGCAATGAAAGCCAACCTCGTTTTCAGGGTTTCTCAAGAGAGAGGACTCTGGGAACGAGGTTGCAATAAAGTGTCGTTTGTGTCTGTCCCATGATCTGTCTTTAATCTGAGATATGACTAAAAGGTGCGCGTTGAATGACTTCGGATCCTAAAATATCCATTCTTTGAACCTCGTGTCTACGGTAATATATTGGTGCAAAATTTGAGATAAGGTGCACAGATGAAAATAGCCGGAATTTTCAGTACACAACTATTAGGTTTTCCTAGTGAAACAACAATAGTTAATAAAAGAACAAAAGAACATCTAAAAAATATTTTGCTTAAAAGCGTTTGGACAGTTTGAAAATATCACACGTTTGTTAGTTCACAGTTGAATGATTTTGAATATTTTGTATATGTAAAACTTTTAATTTGACAAACATTGTACTGTGCTTCAACTGATCCGCTGAATGAAATTGACATTCGCCCTACGAGTTCGTACTATTTTCGTAAAATTCGTGCATATTTTTTCCAAATTGCACAAGAAAAATCATGCTATTACCTTTACACAATTTTAGCCTCACATTTTGCGTTCAGGAATATAACCTTTAACTTATTGTCTATTCTCGTATGCGAAAATATCTTATCATGATTTAGGATCTCCTGGCGCCTCGTCGTATTATCTGCATGAACATGCAAATCTCTTTGACGTGATTAGACTGGTCAACATATTTGCACACTGGACACGCTCAATACACAGAAGTATTTGTTTTGAGCAAGATAATTAGCACGACCGCTCAAGTGAGCAGCACTGTTTGAATCAAGTCATTACAAGCTGTTGCTTTATTTATGCGGTTAGAAATTTGAAGTTACCATCTTTGTAGAAGTGATGACCATGTTTATTTAGTTTCTACTCAAGTTGTAGAGAGCACCATTTCCGCTACGGCGACCATAGATGAGAGCTGTGATAAACGATTAGACGTTGAGAAAAGGTTTCCCAGCTTGGTAAGTTATTTTGTTTTTCATGTCGCAGATTGGTATTGTAACACCACGTTAAACAACATAGTGC